AATTACCAGTACTGCTAGGTTTCATAGAAAAGGGTTCCATTTTTTTGTTTTTTGTTTTTGTAAATTTGATTACCAGTGACTTAAGAAGTCAAAGTCCTAAAAATCCTAAAAGAAATGACATATTTAGCCTTACTTGCAGGGCTCTAGTAAGCAATCAGATACTTACATCAGCACGGAGCCTGTGCAGATCAAGTTTAAGTGGTTTAGAAGTAATTTGCAATGTTGTATAAATAACTATTTATGTAAGAACAGCCGAGGAATAAGGATGAGAAGAAGAGAGCAGTTTGAGGAAGTGGAACACCAGGGTTTAGTTTGTGTCTTACTTTAATTAAATCCTTTCTTGGCTTAGGACATATGTTTTTGAGAAAGCATGCTGACCTTCAGCCAACTTGTTGTATTTGCAAAGTCTCTGAACTGATAATCCTTCACAATAGATCTGACAGTAAGACGGCAGGAAACTTCTACAGAGCTGGGACCTGCTTCAGTGCTGCAAGTGTCACAAAGCAACAACATTTAATGAAATACTGGTGGGAAGGTTCAAGCTCTATTGCCATACCACCATCTGACTCTGACTCTGTGAGTCAAACTAATAAAATGGGAGGCATTGCTTTTGGAGCAGATCTTGTACTTATACACTGGCTTCTTTTTCTGCTAGCCCCCAGGCAAATACCTGTTCTTTATCACGTGTCTGATTCTCAGAGTTTTGCCCATTGTGACTGTACAACTGAAAAAATAACTTCTACAACAGGGAGATCATTAAAGGAATTGTCATACCAGATATTATGGTTTGAAGACATAAGCAGCAACAACTCTGTCTGAAGGTGCCACCAGTAGCATCTCAATCCCTCAGTTGAACTGAGGGTTGTGGGACCACACTGTAAACTATGAAAGGACACCAATGCAATTTTAAAACTTTGGAACAAAGAGTGATGTTGTGTGATTTGAGGGATTTGGGGTTTTTTAGGCAGGCCAGATTGAAGCATCAGAAGTCTTTCTGGAACCTACTCCACAGAAGAAGGCAGTTCAGAGTAGGTTTATGTTTTTATGCTATCATTTTTCATTTCCATTTCAATCTTGAACTTCAGGGTTTATACAACGTGGATAAAATTCTGATTTTATGTAACTTTTTATATAAATCAGATGTTGGAAAGAACACAGAAAATAAATACAGAGACTGAAAGATGAACCATATTGAATTAAATGAAGCTCTTTCCATAGACTTCAGTGGAACTGGGTAAAACAGCATCAGAAGAACGTGAATAATTCAAACCAGGACTGCTGGCAAACAGTATATATCCCCAGAACTGAGCCCCAGTGAATCAAGGTCTTTGTCTAGAAAAACAAATACCAGAACAGTTGATATTAATCCTGGTTATTGGTTAAATGGTGAGCTTGGGGACACCCAAGGTCAGTAATAATCCCTGCACTGTCCTTAGGGGGAAGTGGGCAAAGCAGCCTACATTCTAGGACAGAGATGAAGAGAACAGTACAGAGGTAGATAGTGTGCCATCCCCTCTGATGGGGCTTCTGAAAGCAACCAGTGCTTGGCAACCATTTCTGGGTGGTTCCTGATGCAAGAATCCCAAAAAAACACTGGATATCTGGATTTCTGCCTCCACAGATCACAAGAAGTAGAACAGAAAAGTGCAGAGCCAATTTGAACCTACGTCTGCCCTCTGAAGAAATGGCCGCTTGCTAACATGCATGTAATAAGGAGTTCTCAGATTAGGAGTTGTATCAGATTTTAAAAATGAGTGAGCTTGGGGGAAAATCATTCACATTTCAAAAAATAAAGTATTTGTTTTATATTTATTTCCTCTTCCTGTAATAGTTCATCTTCACAGGATGGGAAGGAAAAATTATAACTTGCTCACTAAAGAGGTGCAATTTTTGAAAAAATGAACACAGGAAACAGAAAGGTAAATTTGTTTTTAAAAAGTTCAAAAATATACTCTGAGAAAACCTCCACTATGCATTGCACCAGGATATTTTATACTGGGAGACCTCTCCTGTCTTGAAAAAGAATCTATGAAAAACAATTTTTTTAATCATATTTGATGTTCTGAATTTGATATTAACAAAATACGCATTTGAAATTAATTGGCCAATACAAATTGTTTTCACCTTCCTCATTTAAAGCTAGCATGGTTCTCCTTCTGCACAAATCTGATTCATCATCACGCCCAGCTCCGGCTTTGTTACTTCACTCCTTGGATGTTTTCCCAGAGGCAGAAAAAGTTTATAGTGAAGCACCTCAGCATTAGACAGGTAACACAAACTTAGGGAAAAAAAATAATCCAAATCTCATCTTTTGAAGATACACATCTAAGATACAATCATTCATAAAATGAATGACACTCGCATAATCTTCAGGCTTTCAGCTTCTCCCTGGGGGACTTCCCACTCAGTAACATACAAATGTTAGTACTTCTAGCATCTAAAAAACAGGAAAATATTATAAAACCAAACCAGTCGCCAAAGAAGCCTGACTAATTCAGTTTCTGAAACTAATTTAGATCTTACTGTTTTGATCAGATGGATACTCTTCAGAAACACAAAACACAGATCACAAGGCATGCCATTTTCTTATTTGGAGAACACATTTAACTCTATTGATAGCGATCTAGCAACACAAATTGTATGGTCAGTCATAAGTTGCAGTTCCTGGTATGGATCACGTACAAGTCTGACTTTTGGAACAGGGGATGGAAACGAGATGGTGCACATGACTGTGCAAAGCACAGGTAAGGAATGTGATGGGGAGAGAGAAAAGAGGCACTAAAAACAAATATTCTGGTGATCTACTTCCACTGAAGTCATATCCAAAGTTTTAAAGAGGGTCGTTGAGTTTTTCAGTGTCTTAAGCTGGCTGACTAAAACAGCAGAAAAGTATTCTTTTTTTTTTTTTTTCCTTTAATTGATAAATTTCTGTGAGTATAGTCAGATACCAGTCACTGCTAGCATGAGGAAGGAGGCCAGAGGAGACAACTCATTTCAGCGCTGAGTTACATCAGCTCAGGCATCTCATACAAATCTCCCCTGGATATGAATGATAGGAAAGATCTAAAAAGCTAAGTGTCTCAGCCATATTTATTTGTTTTAGCTAGGACTTTTTTTTTTTTTTTTTTTTTTAACTAGGACCTTAATTCTTGGTAAGACAAGCAGCTGTACATAACGATCATTCCATTGAGTTCCAGTTCCATCAAGACTCCCAGCAGGATCCCTCCAAAACGGCACAGTGTTGTGTCACTAAGCTGCCGCTAGAGGGGGCTATGACTTTTGTCCCTTAGATTTACGTCCGACTGTAGGTTTCCGACCAGGCTTTAATGTGCCAAAGAAGCGTAAATCTGCACCTATGAGTTGTTTAGGGCAAACACCAAGCCTCTCAAACACACTGGAGATCTTCCTCCAATCCTTGCTCACCACCGCCAGCACCTCCTGCATCCACCTGGCTGCTGCCACTGGGACATCCACAGGCAGCTCCATGGGCATCCACAGCTTGCCTGTTGGGCTGTGGAAGCACATCATCTACCAGCACACCCTAATGAACACTACAAGCAATAAAGAGATTTACTGTGGCAAACTCCAACACACAGATTGCTTGTCTGGGGGTCGCAGGGGCTGTTGCTTTGAGCTACAAATGCATTTGACCACAGAGTGAGATTTAGAGGGAAGCCTGAAAAAGCCTTTTCATGACTATTACCAGCCCTATATTCGTTACGGTGTAAAAGCCTTCCTCCTACTTCCACTTTCTTGCATAAGATAAGTCAACTTGCAGTGTAGTATCCATAGTCTATTTAGTTTCCTCTTTATTTTAGATGAATGCTTTGTTCTTCACCTCTCATTAAAATACTTCCATTTCCCAAAGGAAAGGTAAGCAAACTCTATTACACTCCATAATAATTAGGCTCTTCCTGGTCATTCCTCAGAGTACACCCAAAATCAGAAGCAGTTTAAAAGATTCTTACCATTTGGAAGAGCATCTCAAATCATTTGACGCAAAAAGAGACTAAAGAAGCTCAGTGTCTTGTAAGTAGGGCCTTCTGAGGAAAGCAGATTCCTTAAGCATGTGTCACTTACTACTGATTTCTTCTCCATCAGCGCTCAATAGTAGAAGATCTAATTAGATCTCATCTGAATAATCAAAGCTAGCAATCACTTCATAAAAAAGATACCTCTTTTAGGCACAGATTCACTTTATCCAAGGCACTTTATCACTTACAAGAAAGACAACAGCTGAGATGCATTCAAACTATTCTGCATACATTCTATACTTTCACTTCACAGTGATTCATGAACTGCTTTCATCCAGTCTTCAATCAGTATCTGAGATTTAAGAAGCTGTTTGAATGTTTATTTGTAGGTAGAACTGTCATTACTTCTTTGTGACTTTCAACAAAATATTGTACAATCAAATCATTTTTGTATTTGTAAAAATTGTAAGATTGTAACAGAGATGGTATTGTTTATTTGCCTTGTTGATAAAATGTTCCCACGAGGACCAGTAAACAGCAGCAGCATCCTCTGGTTGATGATGTATTAGCCTGTGCCAAAACAACCCACTTTTTTATGTGAATGGAGAGATTTCTGTATGTGTGTTCTCAAGAAGCACTGCTCTAAACTTGAAAGAGTATTCTTTGTATATTAAAATTCTAAAATTATCATCCGCTGTCCTAAAAACAAACAAACAAAAAAACATACTAACACACCTGAAGTGCTCCAACCCTCACCCAAACATATCTTTCTCTCAGTTCCCCTCCCCAAAACTGGAGAGCTTTCCACCATGTTCTGAATAAATTATTTGGGTACACATTCAAAGAGAAAGGATGAACTTCTGCATTCTATCTTTCAAAAACAAACAGGAAAAAAAAAATCAGACAAAAAAAAACACCACTTTGCAGCTAACCCAATGTAAATTCAAAAGTCTATTAATGTGGAAATTTATATTTAGAAATTCATAATGTATTCAATCTTAATTCACATAGGAGGTAAAGGCAATCTGAACGGAGGATATTCACATTAAAAAGCAACTACATCCTTTAAGTTTTAAAGATAGTAAGGAAAATAAATAAATGAAAAATAACATGCCAAACATACATTTTCAAGTGTGAAAAAACTCTTATCAGTGGTATCTCTGGTTATCTGGCTGTATCTGTTTCTTGTTTGTTGGTTTTTTTTTTTGCTTCTACTTTGATTTTGAACAGCAAAACTCTCTTCCTCCCTTAGAAGTCAGAAGATGAAGCTTAAGTTGAGAAACTGTTCTATTTTCACCTCTACAGTTAGCATATCAATTCATATCCTTGAGCTTTCAGATAACAAAGACTTTTATTTATATAAAAGCAATGAAATGAAAAAGAACTTTACAACTCCTACAAAAGTGAAGTATAAGCAGAAATAACAATTATAATTTGTATTCATAACTTTACAAAAGCATTTATCAGTTACACTGACTGCATAACTGCAGTTATTACAATCTCTTGCAAACACATGAAGCCTACTGCATACAGTCATATTTTATTTCGCTATCAGCATGTGAGTCATTACTTTTTTCCCCAATGGTAGCTTTAAAAGAAAGACTAAGATGCAGATACCAACAGAAAAGACATTTGTTAAAAATGTTATCAACATATTTCAAAATGATTAGAAAGGCAATATTTATTGTGTTATTCATTGGCTCCTACTGCTGTAACTATGTTGCTGTTTATAAACTGAAAAGTTTTTAAGCCTTAATTCAAACAGTAGATTTATTGGATTGGATTGGATTGGATTGTAGTAGCTGTATTTGCAGAATCCAAACTACTGAGCCATCTGCACCACAACTGCTTTCCAGGCTTTGTCTTTGTCAAAATCCTTTAAGGTATTATTGGAAACCTAAAAGTAAACAAATTTCAAACAAATGAAAACATGAAACAACATTGTAAATGTAAACAGTGTAGTACTTAAACATTTGGGCCAATGAAATTTGGTCAAATTCCTACTTTAAACACGTAACTTCAGGCATCTTGTCAATTTTTTTGTCAAAAATTACTCAAAAGCTCTACATCCTAAATCTCTGAACTCAAAATAGTAACTAGCAGTAGTCCCAACAATGCAACTGAAGCAAGATTCATCTATACACATGCAAGTAAATTAAGATCTTGCCTAAGAATGCAGACTACACAGAGACGTATACCTTCACCTGTAACATTATTCCTGTGTTTAAACACTACAAGGTAAATAATAAGATGTTGCTTTTCTACAAAAATTGCTTCTTTTTGCATTTAACTAATGCCTGGATAATACCCAGAAGAGAATTGTTTAGCTATGCCATCACTTATGCTCAAAAATGTAACTTGCAGCTGTGGAAATGCTGCTGAGTTCCATCTTTTATACAGAACATAACTGTCAGGTCACAGAACCAAATGATCAGTGACTTACACTGAATGCCTTCAGCAGCCTGAAGGGCACTTAAATCCACAGCTTCCATTTTCTATTACCAATTGTGTAACAGCTGTACTATTGCTGTGTACTGTGTACTTCCTGCACATTCTATCTGTGCTGATTCATTGTGGGTGCTCCTTTTAGAGCAAGGACTGAATCCAGCACTCAACCTTTTCAATGCTGGGCCATAAAGAAACCATCCAGTTAGCATGACTTACTCTTCCCTGTTCTTTAATATAGCACTTTGCTTTGTTTAGAAGAGATGAGGAAAGCCTATGGGCTAAATGTGCTGTGCTGTGCTGTGCTAGGAGATGCATGTAGTTAATCTGTGCATATCTGACATGATCTGGATTCCACCATTCCCTGTAAGAGCACTCAAGCCACATGAAAAGTGGTAGCAGCAATACTGGCATCACCATGCTCTATGAAAGTATTTACTATATCTGTAACTGAAAGGATGGCTTGAACACTTAAGTGCAGGAAGGAAACAGACGATGTCAATTTTGATCTTCGTTACCAACTTTAGTAGGATAGTTAGGACATGGAGAGCCCTGGGATTCCAGACACTCCTCTGTTCACTAGTTCAAACTGATCAGCACAGGTAGCCATTCATGCAGCTTTCCAAGTATTGGTTCTATGCTCAACGTACCTAACTCTTCTCATTTGCAGTTCAGGGAACTTAGAACTAACTAAGCTTAGCAAATTCACTCCCCTTGGAAATTCACAGCCCTTGAAAAGACACAACTATACTGATAACTCATCTCACGGTCCAAAACTTCTGCCAGAATTTAAAACATTTAATTTCATTGACTTCTCATTATCAGAATATGGTCATGCAAGGTCTATCGTCTTTACTACAAATTTGTGCTACTTTTTTAAACTTTATTATGGTTATAAATACATACCTCTGTAGTTCTGTACTCCTGTTTTTTAACCTGTGATTCTGTCCAGGACGAATCCTGCAGTTTCATTTTTGTCTTGTAATTTACACACTGTATTACAGTTCCAATAGTAAGGCATGCCTGAATTAGCAGCATCAACATCAGAAGCAACAGTAGTACATCATAAGACTGCTAAAAATAGAGACATAGATATCTTCATTCTTTTGTTGCTACTTTAATAGGTAGATGTTAATTTTCCAATTGCATAAAAATACGTACTTTAACAGCAGGTGGATAATTTTTAAAGATGTCAACAACTTGCATGATACTGAAGGATAAGTATCCAGAAGCAGTGAACAACAAAGGGGATGTGACACTGCTAATGGCAATCAGGACCTCAACCTAAATAAAACAAGATTATAAATATTAAATGGGGACAAAAACAAGTAAAAATGTTGTTTGTGAGCTGTATAGCCTTAAGCAAGCATAACAGAAGTGTAAGATTACATATACAAGATAAATCTTAACAGCCATTTACTGTATGGAGATACAGAAGCAACCTTTGACTAAGTTTCCTAGCCTAAACACTCCTGTTTTATAATTCATTTTTCTTTTAAGAAGTGTGATGGGTCTTTTGTCTAATTATAAAAGTATCTTTCAAATGCAGATAGAGGAAACAACACCAAATTTAGAAAGCTAATAAAAAAGTATCATTTTTTTTCAGTTTGTATGAAACACTGAGAATTAACAGCAGATATTGCAGACTTAAAATCTAAAACAACCATTCAAATCAAATTGAGTGCTTTGAGGCAAATTTATTACAATAAAATAGCAGCTTAGTTTTCATTCAAATATCATCCTAAAGGATCAAATTCTGACTTCTGTTGTGGTCATGCATTATTACAGACTTAAGTATGGTTGAATGACTGTAACTAAGAGCAGATGTTTTAAGGAGACAACTACATATCTAGGACACTCAGGGAATAAATGTGCTTTATAGAACATTCTTCAGTTTTCTTGCTAGATTAGGAATTTGTTTATAACAGGTTCTAGATTCGTATATGGACTGAACCCCTAATTTTCTTCCTTCAGAAAGCACAGCACATAATGGAAGGGGAATGGAATGGAGTTCAGGAGCATAAAAGCATTTCTCCGTGTACCATATGAGGCATTTCTTTTCCATAAAGCAATATCCATTTCTAAGAAACCAGTAAAAATAAAACAAACAAAACAAACAAAACAAAAAAAAAAACACCAGTTCTTAGAATTCCATGGACTGGACTTCTTTTCAGAAAAATCAACTTACACTCTTGCTACACAGTACATCTGTTACATTTGTAGAAGTAACTACAAACAAGAGGGCAAATATGAATATTATTATACTCTAATGGCAAAATTCAAGGACTTTACACACTTACCAGACATTTACTTGGATATTCAGCAGCCACATGACTTGCGATAGCACTAGGAAAGCACTAAATAGAATACAAGATAAGAAAGCGTAACAAAATAAGTATTTACATACTTGAAAATTACACAATTTACAACTGTGTGATTCCCACTAGTCATAGATCATATCCTAAATTTAATAAAGACATGAAACCACATATATTTTTAATGACAGTACTGTGAATCAATTAATTAAACAGAGATAAAACTAATCTTCATTTAGCTTACATTTAAATGAGGATCATGCATTAAACATACACATAATATTAACCACAAAACTTGATATTTCCACCTTAAAATCTAATGAACCCCACAGAACATTGTGAGTTCTGCATGCTGAAGAAGTTGTTTACAATCTTTTTCCATTTCCTGAGAGGGATTTTCCAGACTTAGGAGCCATACATAAATCTAGTGTTCATTGTCATCCTTCTTAGCTTGTTCAGCTTTTGGCAAGTAGAGTAACACAACATTCTTTATGAGTGCACTGTTCCTAGGTGCAGGCTGTTACTAGTGACAAGCATTACCAACCAGAGTCTCAGGCTTTTAATCCAGTTAATTCTGATGAGCTAAAGGTGATATCCGAAGGAATCTATCACACTAAAATTTAACGCAACTTTTTATTTTGCATCCTGAAATACTCTAAAATCCAGGAATTGTTTCATGAAACACTTACAATGTCTTTAAAACCCATATTACTCATTTCCGTGTTACTGGGGACTCAAAATGTATCACAATATGTTTTAAGGACCAAAGTTTCGTAAATCAAAATAGAACAATAATTACATAATAGACTAGATATACTGAAGTATTTATTTGGAATGCAGAAATTTCCAATTAATATTAGGGTCAAATAAACATTCCACTACAGTGAAAAAGAGAAAGAAAAATCAAATACGCTGTTTTAAAAGAGTACATTCATTTTGAACTACTTACAGCAACCAAGATCCAAAAGAACGTTACTGAAAGATATGGACCTGACACTAGAACATCCATATTTAAAGCAATTATGCCACCAAATACTGATGAAATTCCAATGATCACTTCAATTACCTAAAACAAAGTAGAGCACACAAATTATAAATAGTTCATTTAAAAAACAAAATTCCTATTTGCCTGTGGAAAAGAACTCACTGGAAAAAAAAAAAAAAAAAGCATTTATGCTATTAGATATACAAAAATGTTCTGCAGATGTAAAATATGGCAAAACTCCAGCTGGCTTAAATGAAAGCAAGTTCAGCTTCATTATGCGTGTTTATACTCTCATTTATTAGCTCCACTAAACAACAGTTCAGTTTACAGTATTTATATAGGTCATTGAGTAATCTTTTTCCCACTGTACACAGCAGTTATTTACCTTATAATATTCTGAAAGGAAGCATTTCAGGATCCATCTCATATTTCTGATTTTAATTCATTCAGTGCTTACCTACATTAATCTGTTTCTGACTTTAAAGGAGTTTGGCAGTTAGAATGATGCAAGAATAAATTGCTAAGAAGACAGAAAACAAGTACTTACTGAGTATGATTTCAGAATTCGGGTAGGAAAGCTAACATTACTCAAAACAATGGTACTATCATATGTGGTATTCTAGAAGAAAATAAAAATTGTGACTGAAAAATATGCAAATAATAGATTTCTTTTTATATTTTGTAAAACTTGTTACAGGTCCTGTTACAGGTGACACGTAATGTCTGGTTGGCCCATTAGAACCAAAAGCAACACCTGGCAATACTTGACAGTGTCAGACTCCATCAATCACACTGAAAATAAACAAGGTAGTCCCAGATGAGCTGTTATACTACCACCACTCAACAGTGAAATACAGCCATCTCTCTTTTCTATTTTCTTCCTTAGCCTTTCAAAGTCTGAAAGATTTCTGAAAATCTGATGTAAATCCTTCTGATTTTGCTGACACAGTAACTGAAGGAAACAGTTTATTGTATGACTTTGTCTAGCAAACCATGCTTCCACCAAATCATGAAATGGCTTCAGTAATAGGTAAAAGAAGTAACACAGAAACAAGAGTGTGATTTGGAAAAGCACTTAAAGAAAAACCTGGAGCCAATATTCATTGTCCAGGTAGGAAAAATCTAACACTATTTTAAAAGTTACTTAGAAAAACATGAAAAAACAATAAACTCTAACTTTAGGGTACCTACTTTCTTTCTCATACAGCAGTCTTCAGTAGATCTAGCTGAAATGATCACAGTAGTTGCCATGAAGATTTCCAGCAGAATAAGTAGAATCAAGTTGAAATTTATCTGCCAGTGGAATTCCAGACATAAATAAGTTACATCTTTGATATTAAAAGTAACAAACGGGGTAGGATCCAGCTATCTACATTCTGTGATATTTAGATGTATCTGCTGATTGGATACTTTTAAAAACTTTTGTCAACATAATACTGAGAATACTTAATCTGAGAAAGAGAGATTTATTTTAATTATGAAAATGATCTGCCTGAAGAACAGTGCATCACTGTCTTCCAAAAAAAGCAGTTAATGACAAGGGAGATGTACTGGGTACTGCTGCATTTTGCAGGACTTTCCATACAAAACCAGAACAGTGCAGCAAATCATAAAAAACTCATAGAAACAGAACGAAGACAAACAAGAGGGAGCCTGACTAGCCTGTGAGGCAAAGGAAATCCACTGGGAGAGAAAGAGGGCCACAGGCTTCCAAACTCTACACTGCAATGCAAACTGTCTGATACAATGCCTAATACTGAATGAAAACACATTCCAAAGAACTGGGCCAAGAATCCTAGCTCTGTGTTCTGCCTAGTGCTAGTAGATGTGATTTTGCAACTCTTCCAGGTCTAACAGACTACATTACCATGTAAAAATACACATGCTGCCATTCCTTCTTCCACTGTTCATCTTCAAGACAAGAATACATCGAATGGAATACTCAGTATTTTTCTTTGGTTCATTATCTACCTCTTTTCATGAGACAGTACCATTTAGGCAAAGTAGATCTCCCTCTCCAAGTCTTTAGAAGCACCATGTCTTCCCAGTGGCAGCCCAAAAAAATATTCGGTGGCTAGATGTGGCCATTGGGCAAAGCACCAAAAGTTCAAGGAGAAATAACTCCATTAAAAATCTGTACAACCAGAGTAAATCACAGTTCACTGAACTAAGTTCTTCTTCATGGTAGACCTATTTCTGGAAAGATCCAACCTAAGTTTTTCTCCAACATTTACCTTTCATAATGTATGTATATTTATTTATTTTGAAAAAGGTCATAGGTGGCAGATTTTAAAGGCTTTTTTGGGTATTGAATCCAGCCTGTAAACTGCAATGTTTTGACTTGTAGCACTGGTACAAAGATATGCTGACAAGGCCACATTGTATGGTGCAGTATCAAGTAGATAGTCAAGTTTGGGTCCGGAAGCACCATAATTACAGGGACAAACTGGTGTCTGTCATTAACGTTCATATAAAATGCCTGACATAGTTGTATTGAGCTGTTCTGTGATAGTCTGAGCATTTATCAACACTAGAATAATGCCTACTACTGCTGTATTACTTCATAGAATTATTCACACACTTCATATTCTTATATAGAAGTCTCAGAACATTTTACCATAACCAAAAAACCCTATAATGTTACTTTTTGGCTTAGACTACCAAAGACAAGTGTTAAGGCTGTGATTCAAAAACAGAGAACTCTCCCCTGCGTGAAATAAATGCATTTTAAATAATGCTAACAGCTGTCTCCCATGACGATACATGGGAGAAACATTCATCAAAACTTTCTTTACTTGGTGACTTCAGAAGCAAAACTGTACACTGTAGAAGATCCAAGAAAGAATTATACTTAATCTGAAGATGTCATACAATACCACTGCTTGGGACACTTCCATTTCAATATAATTTAACCCTGAAAATTGCCTTATCTATAGTTGAAGTACTAAATCGTTTTCAGTGTTCTTCTGATCCTGCTGTTTCAGAAAAAAAACATCAAATAATTTAAACAATACTTTTTTAAGAAGTTTCTTCAAACAAAAGAAAAATAAAAAGACAATTAGTAAAACTGGATCAACCTTCAACATCTCATTCATACTCCTGAACTTAAAATATAAGACAGGAAAGTCATTTTCATATGCATCTCCAATAACTTAACTGTATCATGAGGTTTTATTTCTGATTTCAATTTTTCAGGTCTTGTCTCACTGCAAAAAGTAAAGTTGCTGGCAGGTGATCTCTGTAGACTGAAAACTATGTCATTACTTCTTTTTTTTTTTTTTTTTTTTTGGTAAACCAAAGATAAATGTTGCATTAATTAGCAATTATTCTATTAACTTACATTTATAGCTGATGGATTCAGGACAAGTTTGCATCCAAACCAAATTAAACATGTTGTTGTAACAGCAAATGTCGAGACAAACAGAATCTGAAAATTGGGTATCTGTAAAAAAAGTTTCAGAATGGGTTTCTCTCTCATCTTATACCAGAGGAAAAAAAAAAAAAGATATAATTGATATAATTGCAAAAAAAAATATTACACTTACCACATTAATTTTATTCCTTGCTATAGCAAAGCTCACAACTGCTGAAGGAATACACTGGGAAAATTAAGAGAGAAAACTAGTGGGATATTCTGCACAAAGAATATTAAATATATTTTTCTATACATGTTTTTAATTGAGTCAGATTTAATATTACATATTACAGTTAATAATTGGACGAACTGAAAATAGAAACTCTGAGGAAAGACCATCCTCCTTCACTGGACTCATTAATTACAACTGGTTCTTGAGGATTACTAGAAGTTTTCATATCCCTCAGTTTTGACTAGCTACCCAGCACAATGTGATGCGTAAAGGAAAGCATGAAAGTCTCATGAGTCATTCCATGCCTTTGTTAGCTAAATCAAATCTGGAAGACATTAGATCTTTAAGATGGAAAAGAAAAGCACAGCTACTCCTGCACTGAGCCTCCATATTCTTTTAAAAAGACAACGTAATGGTTGTTTAAAATCTCAACCACACTCTTCTGAAGAACTTGGTAAAAACCAGTCTGCTGAAACATTACAATTTAAGAATCATGCCTACGACCTCTGTTAGTTTCACTAGGAAAATTTCACTACAAAAGAGCAGAGCTAAATGGAAAAATCACACAAAAAAGAAAAGTTTCACAAAGCAATTTCTCAAGCCCGAGTTGTTCCCCACCACATTAGATATATTACTATTACGGATCCAACTCTGATTTCACATATATGCAATTGTACAATATATTCATAAGTAAAATGTGAATATACTAAACTAAAATTATGGAAAAGATTTTCAG